AAATTATGGATCAAATGGTATATGTACGATCAAGTTTATAAGACAATGCTAACATTTTTCCTAAGTGGCTATACCAATTTACATTCCTACCAACAACATTTAAAGGTTTCTGTATTGTATATTCTTGCCAACAATGTGCAGACTTGGCACAGTCAGATTTAGGATTTTTTGCCAATCCAGGAAATGTAAAATGTTATTTCATTATAGTTTTTAAATCATATTTTCCTGATTACTAGTAAGAAGGATCTTTTCATATAATTGACCGTTTATATTTCTTCTTCTATGAAATCCCTGTGTCTTTTGCTTATTTTTCAAATAGGTTGTCTTTTTCTTACGAATTTATAGGAGTTTCTGAAGTATTTTGGATTTTAATCCTCTTGCTTATACACTTAGAAATGTCTTCTTGCAGTTTATGGGCTGTCTTCACATTTTAAAAAAGGGTTTATTTGAAATAATTTCAAACTTGCAAAAAAAGTTGCAAAAATAAAAACAGTGTAAAGGATATCTGTGTAGGCCCTTTACCCAGATTCACCTGTTATTAACGTTTTGCCCCATTTATGTGTACTTTCTCTGTGTATGTGTGTATACAGTCATGGGCTGCATAACGACGTTTCAGTCAACAACAGATGGCATATATGACAGTGGTCCCATAAGATTAGTCCCATATAGCCTCGGTGTGTAGTAGGCTATACCATCTAGGTTTGTGTAAGTACACACTATGATGTTTGCACAGCAATGAAGTCATCTAACAACGCATTTCTCAGAACGTATCCCTGTCGTTAACAACATGTGACCGTATACATACATTTATGTGTATGTGTGTTTATATACATACATACACACACACACACATATTTTTTTTCTGAACCATTTGAGGGTAAGTAGTACACATCATGGTCTTTTACCCCTAAGTAAGTGAGTGTTTATTTCCTAAGACTAGAGATATTCTCTCATAAAACCATAGAACATTTTACAAATTACAATTTACTTTAGTAAATTCAGCCCAGTAATATCCTTTATGGCATTTTTCCCCTCTAGTACGGGATCCAGTCTAGGGTCAGGTATTTGCATTTACCTGTCATGTCTCTTTAGCCTCTTTTAACCTGGAACATTTCCATGGCCTTTCTTTGACTTGTTTTTTCTTTTGAGGAAGATTGGCCCTGAGCTAACATCTGTGCTCATCTTCCTCTATTTTTTTATAAGTGGATTGCCTGCCACAGCATGGCTTGATGAGCAGTGCACAGGTCCGAGCCCAGGATCGGAAGCAGTGAACCATGGGCTGCTGAAGGGAGTGAATGAACTTAACTGCTATGCCACCAGGCCAGCCCTTCCTTGACATTTTTAAAGAATACTGCTCCTTGCCTTTTTTCCCTAATAGAACATTCCTCATTTTGGGTTTGTCTGACGTTTTCTAGTGATTACATTCAGGTTACATTCTTGGATGAAATACTACACACAATGTCCATCTGTGCCTCTTTGGTGATGTTGATTCTAATCATCTGGTCAAGGTTTTGTTCCATTTCTCCACTCTATAATTGTCTTTTTTTTTTTTTAATGTCCCTTGCAACTAATAAGGGGGCTATGGAGAGATACTTTAAGACCATGTTCTTCATCAAAATTCCCCCTAGATTTAATATCTATTAATGATTCTTGCCTGATTCAATCTTTACTAAAATGGTTGTATTGTGTCAATGTTTCACAGTCTTTATTAAGTATTTTGATAGACGTTTTACCAGTGAATTTATCAATCTTTTCCTTTGCTGCTTACATATTTTACGTCCTTTTTAAGAAATTCTTTCCTATCCTCCTTAAAGTACTAAAGATATTCCCTTACATTTTCTTCTGGAAGTTCCCTATTTATTCTTAATTATTAAATATTTTAAGCAATAAAGAATAAATCAGTTTCATACATTTTAAATCTAGCAAAAATAGTGTTGCTACAGTCGCCTGTTTTTAGTAGTGAACGTTTTTTTAAGTTAGCTTTGTATATGAGCAAATTCTGGATTCTAAATTTCATTATATTTTAGTATGATGTATATCTGTATACACACTTTTATTTGGTGAGGAACACTGGCCCTGAGCTAACATCTGTTGCCAATCTTCCTTTTTTTTTTTCTCTCCCCAAAGCCCCAGTACATAGTACATAGTATCCTAGTTGTAGGTCACTCTAGTTCTTCTATGTGGGATGTCACCACAGCATGGCCTGATGAGTGGTGTGTAGGTTTGCGCCTAGGATCCAGGCCTGTGAACCCAGGCCGCCAAAGCGGAGCACACGAATTTATAATCACTCAGTCACCAAGCTGGCTCCAGTATGATGTATATTTTAAATAATGCTTTTTTCCCTTTAGAAAGTAGTTAACCTGTCAGGTCTGGAACATTCTCTGCTTTCACTTCTAAACAACTTAAACAAAAGGGCACTAATTTCTAAGGCCAGCAACTGATGTCTTTAAAGACATCACTGTTAAAAAGATAATGTCATTGTTTCGGTTTTGGAGGGGAAGTTAACTTTTATAGGCAGGAAAAAGGTAAAAAGCGGAGGAAACTGTTACAATTTAAATTGATGCTTAAACAGATTGCTGAAATTCTGCACTTGAAAGAGTGACCCGAGTAATATATCTATGTCTATATTCTTTCTTCTTTTTTTTTAAACAATGAATACTATATTCATTTGACTACTATTCATTTATTTGAACTCTTTTTTTTTTTTGAGCAAGACTAGCCCTGAGCTAACATCTGCCAATTCTCCTCTTTTGGCTGAGGAAGACTGGCCCTGAGCTAACATCCATGCCCATCTTCCTCTAGTTTATATGTGGGACGCCTACCACAGCATGGTGTGCCAAGCCGTGCCATGTCCGCACCCGGGATCCGAACCAGTGAACCCCGGGCCACTGACGCAGAGCATGCGCACTTAACTGCTGCACCACTGGGCCAGCCCAATGTCTATATTATTTCTACCTCTCAAGCAACTACTAAAAAATTTTCAAAACCTCACAGAGCTATTTTTCTATAGAAAACAATTGAAAATATAGTAAATTAACTATTTTTTTTTAAACTGACAAATGGGTTCCTATCCTATTTTAGAAGTAGAACAAAACCTCTCTACTTCAGAACATCAGAAGGAAACTTTTCTCTCACTTACTAAACAAGCAAGTGTTAAGCAAATCCTATAGTACACACAAAATGATAGTACCACAACTAATGAAAAACCAGGTTTATATTGGTTTTCAAAAGATGTACATAATCTGTGTTATTCTCCAATGGTGAATATGTTATAGAAGTAAAAAAGAAAAGAAAAGAGAAAGAGCGGAAGCATGAAAACACTTTAATTTAAATTGGATCCATAAACATTTGAATTCTAAGTCTTGGTGTTCAGCATGAGCCCAGTCTTTCCACTAATGTTCAGAGAAATGCACCCACCAGAAAACACCCACTTGAAGTGAATACTTTTAATTTCATCTTCGCTGTCTGACCCAGCATATTTGACTGTTCCTTAGTATTTCAAGCGGCAGGGAGTACACAGCCCAGAGAGTAATGTTTTATATGTCTTCATAAGCTGGTAACCCAAATCAATTATATTCCATTTCAAACGGAGCAAAAGGAATCAAGATATACAACTACTTCATAAGAGAATGACAATAACTCTTATATGAAATCTTAAATCTTAAAACTTAAATCTATGTTTGCTCTAGAGGTTCTAGAGAGAGTGATGCCAAAACAGCAGCCGGAAATGATCTTAAACCCAGACCCTATTCCCTTAAATAACAATGACTTAAAATACTGATATGAAACTTTCATTGAAATGTGAAGGGAATCTTTCGTATCTTGGATTCAGATGTACAGTAGGAGTATTTATTTAGAAACTATTGGGCCAGCCCCACGGCCTAGTGGTTAAGTTCGGTGTGCTCCACTTTGGCAGCCCAGGTTCCCTTCCCAGGCACAGACCTACACCACTCATCGGTGGCCATGCTGTGGTGGCAGCTCACATATAAAATAGAGGATGACTGTCACAGATGTTAGCTCAGGGCAGATCTTCCTCAAGCAAAAAGAGGAAGATTGGCAAGAGACATTAACTCAGGGTGAATCTTCCTCAGCAAAAACAAACAAACAGACACAAAGACTACTTTAAAATTTTATATCATGCGACCTCTAGGGAACATAGAAGTTTCTGCCGACGGTCAGCTTTTCCTTAAGTTCCACTGCAAGAACTGGTTGATAACTATCCCATTTTCATGCTATGAAGAAATGTTATTCAAATGACAATCTATAAACAACAATATGAGTATTTAAATAAAATAGTATTTTACAGCTAGTGCCGTATACTTATGTTTTAGGAAGGTACAGTTGTTTGTTTATTTGTCTCCAATCCTCAGTCTAAATACCAGTCTATCTGCTTAAAACTAAATGTTTTTTGGTTAGAAAACGACAGCTGACTTCAGGCCAATTTATTACAAATAGATGTTTAAAACAAAAAACAGTGACAGGCATGAACTTAATTCTTCTATTTAATGGATAACAAGGAAGCAAAGAAATCCTTGGGACCCAAATATCCTAGTATGGTTACCAAGAAAACACTTGGTGAATTCCTCAAAGCTTTCACCAAAGAGTGATATTAAATTTCCTTTCAGCAACAAATAAATTGGCTTCTCACTGGTAGAAGATTAGGTCAGTCATCTAAATTGGGGAAAGCAGGGCTACATGCCATTTACTGTGAGTCCCTGAAGTGTGAACAGTGTCTCTCCCCATGGCACGTTTATGTCCTCTCCATAGCAGATGTACACCAGGGCAGCAGGTGGTTATCTTGATTCCCTGACACTTAGGATTAAAGAAAAATTATCTAAGCTTTAAAAGCTTGCATAAAAATGTGGAAATAGCTATATTTTCTTTCTATCGTCTTTGATGATGGAAGATTTGGATATGAAATTTGATGAGAATGCCCTGAAGAAGGAATAGGATTCCTGTATCAATGGGGAAACAAGACAGACCAGGGAGTCCTCTCTCACCTGTGACACTGTGATGCTGCATTTCTTGGCCAGCTCCTCTTTGGCTTCTTCACTGGGGTAGGGGTTGCTGAGGTGTGAGTAAAAATATTCATTCAAGATTTCTGTGGCCTGTTTACTGAAGTTACGCCTTTTTCGTCTATGACAAGAACCCAAAAAAGAATTAGAATTAGAATTAGCATTAACCAAAGAGGGATATATTAATTTGGATCATACAAAAAAATTAGATTTCTGTTTTTAAACATTCTTAGCATCTAATTTATCACTATGGTATTGTATATTACACTCTTGGCATCCTCCAAAACACTAACTCATTTTAAGATGTAGGATCACTAAGAAAAATACTAGAATGGGAAGCACAATTAACTTTATTCTTTAATTTATTCATCAAATAATTATTGAGGATCAAATATTTTCTAGGCACTCAATGAAGATCCAGTTGGAACAAAACAGATAAGGTCTACCAGAGAGCTGATAAGGGAGAGAATAGAAACGTAGGGGAAAGAAAGACATTCGACAAGTGTCACAGAAATAAATAACTACAAATTATGGTGATCATATCAAGTATCATGAAGGAAAAGTATAAGGTACAATGAAAGCATATAAGAAGGAAACCTAACAGATTATGGAGTCAGGAAAGCTTTCCTCAAAGGCATGATATTGAATCTGGGACCTGGAGAATGTGCAGGAGTTAGTAAGACGAAGAGTAGAGGGGAAGAGGAATGAGCAGAGGAAACAGTCCTGAAACAGAAGAGAGGTTGGTAAGTCCAAACGGCTATAGGAGGCTGGAGCTCAGTAAAGCCCAGGGAATGTGTGAGATGAGTCTAGAAGCACGGGAAGAGGCCAGATTACACAGGGTTCGTGGGCCCCATAAGAATTTTTGGATTTTATTTTAAGTGCAATAAGAAGCTATCAAAGGCTTTAACTTTTATCTTTTAAAAAGATCGTTCTGACTGCTGAGAATAGTTGGAAGACAGCGTGAAAGGAAATGCAGAGATATTTAAGGAGACAACTGCAATGGTCAAATTGAGAGATGACGGGGACTCGGCATAGGGTGAGATTAACGGAAACAAAAAGATTCAAGATCTATTTGAAAGGTAATAGCAATAGGACTGGATGACCACTGAGTGAATGGGGGGAGTGTGTGGAGAAGACAGAATCAAGGTAAGGAAAAAATACATCAGGATTTCCGGATTTTTTTCTGCTTAAGCAACTGTCTGGACCGAGGTATGATTTACTCACAAGGGAAAGAGTAGGGGAGGAAAAATTTTTGTTTTCATTGGAAGGTGGGTGGCAGACTGTCAGAAGATCAAGTATTTATTAACAATTTATTTCAAATAGCAACAAATGTCATTTATATTTGGGTTTTGTTATTCAGATTTTAAAGAATTCCACCTATAAATTAGCATTTGTCAGATTTCACTTTAAATTAGATCCCCCAGTAACTGGAAAACACTTTCCCAAAATAATTCTCTTAATACTGTCTTCCAAATAATCTTAATCGTCTTCTCAATTGTGATATCCTACATTCAGGAAAGACAGAGTCAGTAGGCAGTTGTAAATGTGTATACCCTATGAGATTCTTCTAGTTAAAATGATGTCACTAACATGGCAGGTTAAGTATGTGCTCTATGTCTCAATATTAAGGGAGAGTCAAGGGAGCAAGAAATCTAGGTCTGATCAAAACATCTCAGGTTGAGTCCCGAAATTTCTTAATTTCAATAATTTTTTGGAAGGTTAAACTTTTGTTTCCTGAGGGATGAAGAAGAGAGTCAAGATCTATTTAGGGACTAAAAGCAACAGAATTTGATGACGAATTGGATGGGGGAGGTGCTGAGGGAAGAAAGGAAAGGAAAGGAAGAGAAATACATGCAATTTGCAGGTTTGCAGGAGTCATGCACTGCTTGAAAAGAAAAACAAAGCTCTGACCTGGGGGCACTTTGAAGAGGCATGCTCTGATGAGTAGCTAGGTGGGTGAGTGGGGTGGAAAAGGTCTAGAATAGACACTGAAACTGTCGAACCTATAGATATTACCTGGCCTACAGATAATGTTTGTTGAGACCATATAATACTGACCTGCTCATGAAAACCTAGGTTTCTGACTTCTTATGAAAAATTGGAAGATAAACCACATCAGGTCTGTATTTTTAGAAGGCAGGCGCACGCAGGCTAAAGCTGAGTGATGGCTGTCCCCTCAGATACACACCCATCTGCTCTAATTCTCACTGCCCCTCATCCAGCCACTCTACTCACTTCCATTACATGTAAGCATGTGAGTTTGTGACTCTCAGTCTAAAAGATGGAGTCCAGCAGCAGACTAGAGTAGATGACAGAAGGGCATTTCTTTGGGAAATGAGGACTTATGAAAGCAAAGATGAGCATAAACCTATCTGGGAAGCAAAGATAAGTTCGGCTCATTCATCGACTTTGTCTAGGAGTAATTTTAGCAAATATCGAAAAACATCAGAGAACAAATTTATGGGCAGAATGCCTAACCCCAGACATTCTGGCTGTGTCCAGACTATAGCACTTCTCCTGAAAGAGCAGAGAGGCCTACACAACTTTATTCTTAAATGTTTTGCACTAGTACATGTTTCAGCCTGTCCAATTACCAAGGAAATGTGAGTATGGGCTTACAAAAAGCTGCAGTGAGCAAGGGAATCATCTCTCTGAGCGTGTTTGCCTAGAGCAGAAAAACCTTGCCTTCTCAGTGCAGAGGGCTTGCTAAGAGGCACTGCAAGAACAGAACCAGAGCTCAGTATTTGCATTCACTCGAAGGCGTAAGAGAGAACTTGGTCTTATACTTTATTTATTTTTTAGAAAACATTCTGTAGAATATGCCCATTAAGCATTTCCCCTAAGTTTCATTCCCCTCCAGGGTTCACGGCACTCTAAATGGCTGTGCCCGAGGCCAGTGTGCAGTGGTGCAATGGTCCCAGGGCTGCATGCCATCAGCATCACAACATCACTAACAGCAACCCATGTGGGAGAAGGGACTCTGCTCTAAGCTCCGCCACCTTCTCGTTCTGACTCTGCTCACTCTGGCTTGTTAACATACTTTCTCTCCTCGGAAGAAAAATAAATCATTTAGAGGTATACATTATGAATGCAGTTACGTAAAAAAGCACGCACGTTGACAAGAAAGGGCAAGTATCAGCAGAAATAAGGATAGCAGTTGGATTAGGAAGGATTCCTTTCTGAAGAAAGTACTTTTAAATATCTTTGTCACATAATATTTTTTATTAAAATGGTCAAAGTTGAAAAACAATTTAAAATGTTTTCTGCTTTTTTTTTTTAAGGTTTTATTTTTCCTTTTTCTCCCCAAAGCCCCCCGGTACATAGTTGTGTATTTTAGTTGTAGGTGCTTCTAGCTGTGGCATGTGGGATGCCACCTCAGCATGACCTGATGAGCAGTGCCATGTCTGCACCCAGGATCCGAACCAGTGAAACCCTGGGCTGCCGAAGCAGACACGCGAACTTAACCACTCGGCCATGGGGCCAGCCCTGTTTTTTGATTTCTGATGCTACCTCCTAAAAGTATTAAGTCGAAATACTCATTCACCTGGATAGTCAAATTATTTTTTGCAGCCTATCATGTATACGACACTTGCTGGAATCACAGGGAATGTAAACATGTGAGACTTGGCTGTTGCTTTCAGTGACCATGTGACTTACTAGGGACGTGAAGAAACGTTCTTGAAAAGCTGCAACAGAGGCAGTCTGAATGAAGTTTGGTCTGAAGAATTGTATAAACATAGTCTCGGGGTTCAAGAGCAGGCAAAGACCAGTCAGTCCAGTGGAGTGACTAAAGGGGGCTTCTGGAAAGGGAGCACAGGCTGCCCTGGAGGCATGAACAAGGTCTCACCAAATCAACACACGTGAGCACTGGTTCCATTGCAAGCTCTGTGCTGGACACGCTCACAGACGACAACTCATTATTGGTGACCAAGCTGGGGAAAAGACTGGGAGAACAAGATTTGCTGTGGGGGGGTGGGGGTGAGGAGTGGGGCTGGTGATAGAAGAAGTGGTGAGGCAGAGGAAAAGAAAGAATTGCAGTCCGAGGAAACAGATAAGAGGTATTTCATTTTGGATTAAACACAGGAAAGAACAATTTAGTAATATAATAGCAGCACTAAAAATGTTCAGACTTTGATCTAATAATTCCATTTGTGAGACTTAATCCTTAGGAAATAATCCTAAAGATCAAAAAGGTTCAATGCATAAAGATTTCCATTTTCTCTTGAAACAGCAGTTTCAGGAGAAATCTGTCTAAAATAGTACCCTCTCTCCATCATTTTCTATCCCCTCAAATTGCTTTATTTTTCTCCATAGCAGTTATCATCCTACTACATTTCATTACATTAATGAGTAGAATACTATAGCATATTTGTTTACTTGCTTATTGTCTGTTTCCCCAAGTAGAACATAAACTCAATTGGGGCAAGTATGTGAACCTATCTTGTTTACCTTTATATTCTCAGCACAAATAAATATTTGTGGGAGGAAGGAAGAAGTTATAACGGAAATTACTAGGGACAACTTAAATGCTCAAAAATGAGGAATGGTTAAGTAAATTATTTATCATATATCCATTTGGTAGACTTCAATCATTAAAATATTATTTAAAATTAGAGCTTACACTATATGAAAGATGTTTACTTATTCAGGTAAATTTTTTAAAAAGCAAAGCAAATTATGCATATTGTACCATCACAAGCATATTAAAAAGAAAAAAAAGAGAGTCCCCAAACCTGAAGGCAAGGTACTAAAATATTAACAGTGGCTCTTTTTTCTTTAGGTAGTAAAAATGTGGTTGTCTTTTATCTCTTGTCCTTCTATTCTATATATTTTCCAAATTTTCTATAGTGAGCTTGGTATTTTTTAAATAGCAAAGAATAGAGTTTAAAAAGAAATCTTAACAACAAAAACATAATGAAGACAAGGGCCGGTCATTTAAAGCTTAAATGCCAGGTTAAGGCGTGTTGATGTGACTTACGCAGCACTGAAAAGCTACTGCAGTTTTTAAGCAAAGCAATTAGGGTATCATAGTGATGCTAAAGAAACAGAAAAGGGATATGGAGGATGGGAGGGAGGGGAGTAAGACTGGAGACGGGGAGACTAGTAGGAGGGTACTATGCTAGTCCAGGTACAAAAGGATGAACATGAACTGAGCAGTGCGAGTAAGAATGGAGAGCAAGAGACATGTTGAAAATGAAGCACTGGCGAGTTCTAGTGACTAATTTGGTGTGGAGGAGGAAGGAACCAAAGGTGATCCAAGGCTTTGCTTAACAAGGAGGATGGGAGTACAATTAGGTGGCATATGTTTCCTTATTTGGCTCTAAGAAGAGCTCTGGCATGATGACTATTCCACACACCTTGTTTTCCAGTTGAGAAGCTACCTTAGTTATTTTCTCCTATATTATAAAATTTGGATGGTGATGATCACTTCTGTCAGGTTCCAAGGGAGAGAAAGCAAAACAAAATAGAAACTCCTTTCCAAAGCTGAAGATTGATCACAAGCTTTAGCGATGCCCAAGAGGCACGCCTGCAGATGCAGCATAGAGGGGCACCTTGGCGATTCTTCTGTTATGTCACCCAATAGGTCAAACACACCATGTGCAATTTATTACTCAATTCCTATGAAACTTGGTGAAAGCTTCAGATAAAAGGGAAATTTTCATCCTTACGGGAGAAACTGATAAGCTTTCTTGGAAAAACAGAGTTTGGGGGTTTTGCGGTAACTGCTTTTAACTAAAATACCACTTCCTTTTTAGGAGTATCTCTAAGTATTTCCTTATAATGTGCACAAGCAATGAAACATCAAGAAATTCCTAGAAAACAAACCTTTGCTAAAACAGAGTTATATACTGAAAGTTATCTTTATAAATAAAGTTATCCTTAAAAATACTTTTTGGCATCAGAATCGAAAGGCTACATATTCCTAAGTCATTAGTAGCAGCACTAATCCATTTCCTGAATCACCAATCGGCAGCTAACAGCACTAGCACTACCAGACAAGAAGAGGCTTGACAGCACAGGCACCACGAGGTGGATCACCTGCTCATTGTAGAGAAGGGCTCTTGTAGCCAAATTATAAAAGAATCTAAGACCAACTGGCCAGTTTTACAGAAAATAATATACAAGGAGTGAAAAAGGAAAAACAAAAAAAGCCATGTAATAGATTTGTGGCCTCACATACCTGGCATCAAGGAACCTTGATCTTAAAATCATAACTGCTTCACAAGTGCTTTGTTTGAGCTGCATCTGAATGGAACTAAATTTTCGATGGATGATGCCCACCATTCTTTCAATCTCTTTTGGGGAAATGGGACGTGTTCTACTCTGTTCTCGGAGAAGGTTCATCACATGTGTGGTGAATTCATTACATGCCTGTAAGGGGGGAAAAAAAATCACTCCTTAGGAATCTAGTATTTTATATAATCACACCCAGACATTAACTCATCTGAATTTCCATCTCATTTGCAATTGCCAATGGCATTCTGCAGTGGGTAGGGTAAAATGAAAACTAAGACACTTGTGAAATGGCAGTGGTAGTTAGATGGGGCAGCAAGAAATTCTGAAACTAGGAATGGCCAGACATGCAAGGGAGACATAGCACTCAACTGCCCTTCCCACCCACCCTTGTCCGGGTTCCAAAAGGAGGTTTTCCTATTGGACGATGCTCTCTTCCAACTCCTCTATATAAGTATATGTTATTTGTTAATACTAAGCACCTCCTATCTTCCCTGGGGTTTTACATTTATTCAACAAATGTTTACTGAAGGACTATGAAGTTCAAAGTCTTCCAAGTGCTATTAAGGGACACAGAAATGAGCAAGATGTGGACCTGGGCTTCAGTGCGATAAAATATATAAAAAACAAATTCTCAAACAGGGCAGTCTATGCAAAGTGTCACAGGAAAATATGAATAAGTGCTTCCTAAGTTCAGAGGAGGGAGTAGTCTCATCTGGAGGCAGAGATGACATGAGGCTTTATGGCAGAAGCAACATTTGGGCTCTAAAGAATAGGTAGGATTTTTGAAAGGTGGATAAAGATAGAAGTCAGGAGGAATTCCAGGCACAAGAAAAACCCTGGAAATAGTGGTATGTAGCAAGTTCGGAGGAATAGAGAGAATATGTAGAGGAGAAGAGGGGATTCAGGTTTGCGTTAGCATGAGAAGGGCCCTGGATACCAAGCATGCCAATGTCCTAGTATAATTTAGCTGCAGTGTGGGCCCTATTTGTGGATATGAGCCATATATGGAAGACGGGGAAAGTAGCTTGACTCTTTAGAGGAAGGGCAGCAGGAAAATAAGGAACAGATTTGGGTCTCAAACTTTTGAGTTCACAGTCCTCAGGCCCTGCCTTTCAGTTCACCTATCTTCGTTTAGATCTACAAAACTATGTAACAGGGCCTACACTGAAATCTAGCATTGCTTTGGTAAATAAAGCATCAGTCTATACCCCTGAATAAAAAGAACGTGTTCTGGCATTTTCGTTAAAAAAGCAAGACAGGAGATTCTGCGTCTTACTGCATGAATGCCCCTGGTAGGGTGAGCAGACAGAACAATCATTGATCACGGCAAGACATATTTTGAAGCTATAATAACGTCCACTTCCCTAAAGATATCCTGAACATTGCTCACACACAGCACATGATGGTTTTTCTAACTGCTCATTAGAGGACTAACCTTTCAAGTACACTGGGTGTTTCAGCTACTTTAAGCTTTTATGGAGCTTTTCTATAAATATTTCTAAGGTGAGGTAAAATGAGTTTTGTTTACCAAAGTTTTTTTAATATGTTTTAAGTCTTGAGAAATTTAAAATTCCTTGTGAGTAGCAACCCTATGTTATACTTATGAAATTCTTCAGAGTATAAAATTGTGCAATATAACACAGTAGGCATCCAATAAACATCTATTGATTGGTGTGCCTTTGTATTACAATTCAAGAGCAATGTTGATTAATATCTGTAAATATATTATCCCTGAACTTTAAGTGAAGAATTCTTAACCTGCAGTCCATGGACAGGTTCAGAATGTCTATGACTCCTTCTACAAGTTGTGTGCACGTGTGTATTTCCTGAGAGGACAATCCGGAGTTTTTGTTTGTTTTCTTTCCAGATTCTTAGCCAGTCAAAAACTAAAAAAGGCTAGGAATTATCGTCCTAGGTGATTACACAGTAAAACACTAAGGAAATTTGCAGATCTAAAAGCAGAAGTTCTTTCTATCTTAAAGGAAGCCAAAATAAAGAAAAGTAAATTTAAGATTTTCCCCACTATATTACCAACTTAAACTATCTTGTGCCAAGCTGAAAATAAGTGGTCACCCTGCCAAGAAATATATCTTTTTCTTGCACTTTCCCTGAAGAGACAGATGCTCACATAATTTCAAAATTATTTAATTTGTAAACTCTAGTCCTGTTTTCTAATCAATAAAATAAAGTAAAAGAGAATTGTTTTCCCAAACTGAGATCTGAAAGTTCTACACTTCTATAGCTAAGTTCCAGGGAATGTTAATACAGCATGTCTGGGAAATGCTGAGTTAACCAAAATTTTTAAAGGTTTTTTTTTTTTTGTAAGACTCCTCAGTACTTCTAATATGTCAATATGCATAATAAATCTTCAGGGAGAATGGTGTATCCAACTTTTCCCAAATAAACTTGGTCATAAAACCTCTTTTCTCTAGAGCAATGCTGTCCAAAAGAAATATATTGTGATCCACATGTGAAATTTTTTAAATTCTCTAGTAGCCACATTAAAAAGATAAAAAGAATTAGGTGAAATTAATTTTAACAATGTTTTATTTAACCCAATATGTAAAAAAATTAACATTTCAACACATAATATTTTTAGAAAAGTGTTAATGAGGTATGTTACATTCTTCTTTTATGCACTTTGAAATCCAGCATGTATTTTACATTTACAGCATATCTCAATTCCGACTAGCTGAAAGTCCAGCACTTCAGCTTTCAGGCGCTCAACAGCTACATGTGACTTGTGGGAACTGTATCGGACAGCACGCTTTTACAGCAGCTTGGGGACCGATGTGCTAGTTAGAAAAACTCTTTTGCAAACAGTACACTAAGTAATCCTTATGTTTCTTTTTCTGTTCTTCACCACTACCCATTCACACACACACACACACACACACACACACACCAAAAAAGACAGTTTCACTTAGGGATGTTCTTCATAAAGCAAGAGCAATTATTCATTTTATTACATCTCAACCTTTGATTAAGTTTTTAATATTCCGTGTGACAAAATGAGAAGCACCCAAAGAGCACTTCTGCACGTGGAAAGAGGGTTGCCTCCAGAGAAAGCACCTCTGTGATTAAGTTGTAGGCCAACGCTGCTTTTTCACATAATATCATTTTTATTTGAAAGCAAAATTGACAAATTACGATTATTCAGACTTGGGTTTGGGTATCTGGCAGATGTTTTCTCAAAAATGAATCAAGTGAGCCTGTCATGTCAAGGAAAACAGTTGACAATAGTTACGCCAGTGATGAAATTTGAGTTTTCAAGTGAAAATTATAATTTTGGAAAACTTGCATTCACCACCATGAGCTTGACAGTCTACCAGTAGACTTTCTGATTAGTTAGGTGTTGATATTAATAAATATGATATTTTGATATTATATAATGAAATGTGTCAACATTGGAAGATATACATAACCCAGTGAACCATATTTTCCAAATGATCAATGCATGATGTTACAAAAACATGCATAGGTAGAAGATCCACTCAAAGTGCAAACTAGACCAATGAATTTTAAAGGAACAGAGTACAAAAAGCTAATTGATACGATTTCAGACTCCACATTATAACTAACCTGTAAGAAACTACAACTTGTCAAGTTTTGGTGTAATCTCAAAGAATAATATCCACAATGATCTGAAAAGGCTATTAATATACTCCTTCCTTTTCCAATGACATATTTGTGTGAGACCAGATGTTCTTTATATACTTCAACTACATAACAGACTGACTGCAGAGGCACACACGAGAATCCAGGTGACTTCCATTAAGCCCAACATTAAAGAGATTTGCAAAAATGTAAAAACAGTGCCATTCTTCTCACTAAATAAGGTTTTTTTGAAAATACAGGTTTTTAAAGAAGTATTAGTTAAATTAACATATAATGATTTACTATTGTTATTTTAAAATTAACTAATAAATACTTTTAATTTTTCTCAGTTTTAATTTCTATTACAATAAATATTAATAGATATAACCCACCAAACAAAGGCTCTTAGGAGGTCGCCAACAATTTTTAAGAGTCTAAGTCCTAAGACCAAAAAGTTTGAAAACCGTTGTACTGGAGTATGGAAGCATTTCTAATTTGCACATATAACAATGCTAATTCCTACAAACCCAGCTCATACATTATGGTAACATATATCTATGACAGGGCATATGTCTTGATAAATAATTCAAGACTCCAGGGTGAATGATACCTGAGATGCTAGTTCTCTTTAGTTTTTTTCTGGCTGTATTTTAATCTCTCCAGAATGAAAGTTTACCTATGGTTTCTAAGAAGCAGCCAAAGGCTCATGTGAAAAAAAAGGGTTAAAAGCAAAAAGTTTCTGCTTCTAAAAACTCATAATTTCCTAAAACATTTGCTGAATGTCTCACAACTTATTAAGTGAAGTCATCTATGAATGCAAATGCTGATTAGCAATTTGGCAATAGCCCAACATTCACAGAATTCACATAGCTTTTCTTTAAACCAGTAGTTCATACATGATTAATTAGAACATCTCATTTATGTAGTGTGCACTTTAGCTCATTACTCTAAGTAAAATTCGTTAAGTATTTACATTTAGATAATTAAAATCTGGGTACACCCTTAAGAAAGATGCATACACTTTAGGCAAAGTAATTTTTTTTCCTTTATACCACTGAAAGTAAATTACAGCCTCATTTACAGCATCATCTGTACCAGTTTCAGAGCAGAGCGCAGTACTGCCTCATCTCCTATTCCTTAAAAGGTATACAAATTTTAAACATATAAATGCAGTAAGAATGATCAAATGATTGCGGAGTTGTTTTGAAGGGTCACCCAACCACAAACTAGCATCGATGCCATTTATAAGGTGGGATGCTCACTTCAAACATTTATCATACCCTCCATCGTACCTACAAGACTACATTATTAAAATAGGCAATGGAAAAATTTTTCATTGCCTTATTATTTTTCCAAGTGAAACTGTCAGTTAAGAATTTTCTGGTCAATGTCCACAATACAAATGAAGAAACACCTTGGTTAACTGGAATATTTAGGAAATGAGAGCTTTTATTCCTTCAATTTTCTGATTTACAGTAATGGCAGAAATCTCTTTTTCTTTTAAACCAGCTGTTGAAAATTACTAGGACACATTTTTT